CCCCGCCTCACGGGGGCGTTGTGAGGATAAATACACGAAAGACTGTGGAGCACTTTGAGATCTGCTGATGAAGAGCTCTGTAAGAGCCAGGTATTCTTATTCCATCTTCTGAAATGTAGCTGTATTAGATACCCCTGGGTATCTAACAAGTAGCTGTTGTTGCTTCCAGTTGGGCAAAACTTGGGCATCCAGCAGAAGCGATCTAAAGCCTTTAAAGGGGACTCTTCTTTTCCCAAGCCTGAATGCTGCTTCATAGAGCTAGTGGTGCAATATTTGGTGGTTTTGATCTTATTGGCCTGCGCTCCCTGTCTCCACAGATGACGTGGTATCGAACTACTTCACCAAGGGGAAGAGGGGTAAGCGCTCTGGCATCCTCATCATCTTCTCCTTCATCAAGGAGGCCATCCTGCCCAGTCGACAAAAGATGTATTGACCCCCCGCGGACGGCATGAACTGTGACAAAGCCGAAGGGAAGACCCCAGCTGGATGTGAACGGCAGCGCTGTCCCTGGGTCTCCAGTGAACCCCGCTCCTCCACTTCTCTCCAAGGGATTTTGTCAGGAATGTATAATCTGTGCAACGGCCAGAGGCAGCTGCCATGTCCAACATGTGCGCTTAATGCCTCAGGTAGTGCAAATGCAGGAGGTTGCCTTTTTATACCTCTCCGATTATCCCCTGGGACTTGCTGACAAGGAGGCGGTTCTGTTCAAATTGCGTTTAAGGAGGGCGGCAGCCTCCGCGAACCATGGATTGTGTTCAGAGACCATGATGTGAGGCAATGCCATCTGTTCTTATTTAAAGCCAAAAGCCGTTGTAGGATGCAGTTTGTCCGAGAGCAGGAGGAACACACGCAGTGTCTACCTGAGGTTTGCATACAGCCATGATTTCAGAAAATAACCGAACTCTTGAATTCCCAAACATTTCTGTCTGGAAACTTGCCAGGGATGGAGAATAGCAGGTGACGCAGCTCGCTCGCTCGTTACAAAATGCATATCCGTGATCCGGGCACAGAGGCCGAGACCACAGTGTGTCTGTGAGCCTGGCGAGCACTGATGCACTCTGCTCCTGCGGCTTTTAAAGGTGACTTGCCAGGGATAAAAATGGGACAGGTTCCTCTTTTGCTGCTTTATGATGGTGATTAAAGATGGCCTAAGGGGGTGTTTTATATCATTTTTTTTTCTGTTTGTTTTAACCTAAGACATTTCAACTTTTGTTTTCCCTGGGTTTGCTAGAAGTCTTGTTGGAGGCCTCAGAAGTGGCTTGTAGGCTTCCTCAACTTTTAATTTAAGGTTGTTGACTCTTTCACAAAAAGAGCTCTTCTCACTGTGTTAGCCAGTTGAGCTAAATTGGTGTTGACAAAACCAGAGAGCCCAGCGTTCAGAACTGTGAATAACAATCGCTTCACTTCTTCTTCCGGTTTCACTTGCTCGGCATCTCCAATGCCGTACAGTTCTCCAGCCATCCATAGAGTCTTCTGGTGGGGAAAAAAAGAGTTTGACAAACCCTGAATGTTCAATGAGAGCAAGGGGAAAAACTTGTAGGTGTTTTTCATGTATAATAAAGAAGCAAAACCAGGGCCCAACCCATTTTTGCCCCTTTGCTGGTCACCTTTAACCGTTGTGCCAGGAATAGAGATGTTTTCATTAAGGTGGTGCCACATTTGGAATTGGGAGTTCTGCCACCAGGCAGCGTCTACTCATCATTTGGAAAGGGTTTATGAAGATTCCAGGAGGCATGTATCTATCCTCTCGTGGGCCAGCTCTGGGTGAGGGCCACTGAGAGCTGTTGAAATCTATCCTGTGTATTGGGAAGAGCCTGGAAACCGCAGGCTTTGACTGTGGGATCCTATGATAATATCTGTCATTCTCATGCTTAATTTAATGGCAGTGTGATTTCTGTTCAAGTACCAATTCTCTCTTTTAATAAAGGTTCTAGATGCAGTTTGCCTTATGATCAAAGGAGCTGAAATTTGCTGTCTCCCTCTTGGCACTTCACCAAAACCATAATTTACTGGTTAAAGGGGAGGCTTTTCAAGCCATGAAGCAGTCCCATGCTCCTAGTTTTAAGAGGGCTACAGGTCATGTCTGTATGATTTGTATAGCACCAAATATGATCTATACAGCACTTGGCTAACCCTGCATCAAAGAGCTAAACATGTACGGCCCAGATTCTATAACACTTTTAAAAGCATGTTGAAGAACTGGAGAGGGTGCAGGGAAGAGCCACACATGATTCGAGGGCTGGAGAGAATGCCGCACGATAAGAGATTTAAGGAACACCTCCGTTGGGTGTATCAAAGAGATTGAGGAGACTTGGTTACAGTTATTTAGTACCGTAGCACTGAGGAGCGCTAGCCGCAGCCCAGGACCCTGCCGTGTATCAGTACCTTCACGGGGAGAGAATACTGGGAACTAACAGGCTCTTTAATCTAGCAGAGAAAGACAGAACAAGAACCAATGCCTGGAAGTTAAAGCCTGACAAATTCCAGTGGGAAATAAGGTGCAAACTGGGGGAGGGAAAGTGATTAACTTTCAGTATAAACTCTCAGGGGAAGTGGTGCTCTTGATGGCTAAATCCAGCTTGGCGGGTTTTCTGGAAGATGCTTCAGCCAAGCACAAGTTATTAGGAGGTCAGATTAGGTGATCTAATGGTTCCTTCTGGCCTTAAAATCTGTTAACTGGATCCAAGCAGGTGAACTCACATGGTGTGTCCATTGACTTCAGCTGGGCTTATGTGGGCACAGGGTCTATCCACATGGATCCACCTGCAAAGCCTGGCCCTAAACAGCTAAAATGCAGGGGGAAAGGTGCTGAGGTTCTTAATTAATGCTGATCTAGACAGGTCTTGGGCTGACTTAACTATTGGTTTAGAAACTGATACAGTTTCATCAGCACAAGCCCTTAGGGTGGATGGATTTATACCACTATAAAGGTGCTGGTCTACTCACAAGAATCTGCTATACTGATAAACACCGTTATTCTGCATCCATACTTGGGAGTTGCATTGATTCAATTGTTTCTGTCTCTTATCTGGTGATATGGTTAAATCTGCACAAAAGATGCATGAATTAGCCCTGCCACCCGAATGCAGAGCTTAAACACTGAAGAGCAAAATGAGGAAGCACCTCTACAGGACAGGGTGTGAAGAACTCCTGGGTTCTGACTTTGACTCTGGGGGCTTGAGCAAGGCATGTGCTCTTTGCCTCAGTTTACCCATCTCAAATTTGCGGACTGTTCTTTCATATTTATTCAATAACCTCCATGTTTAATTTGGATGAAGCTGCTGTAGGGATCTTATTGCAGAAGCTAGGTTCAGCTTGCAGTGAAGTACATGGTGGGGGAAAGATGGGACTCTGGTCTACTTTTTTGACAAGCAAAGAACTGGCTAGTGTGTTTGCCCAACTGTCCAGGCTACCCTGTGTGAGGACCTGGTTATATCATTACAGTTACCAGGATAGTCATGAGCATAGTCCTGTAGGATCTCCCTCTTTCCCCCTCCCCTCTGTGGGGCAGGGGCTGATATAACATATTTTGGGAGGCACAGTGGTGCTTGAATTTTATTCTCCACCTTGGCGTCCTGGAATAAATTGCCCAGGGAGGTTGTGGAATCTCTGTCGTTGGAGGTTTTAAAGAGCAGGTTGGACAAACCCCTGTCAAGGATGATCTATATCAGTGGTGGGTAACTTTACCCTGCAGGCTGCACGCGGCCCATCAGGGTAATCTGCTGGCGAGCTGTGAGATAGTTTGTTCACATTGACCACAGGCCTGGCCACCCGCAGCTCCCAGTGGTCGCAGTTCGCTGTTCCTGGCCAATGGGAGCTGCGGGAAGTGGCGGCCAGCACGTCCCTGCATACCATAGTACTTCGTCCTGCCATGAGTGCAGGGGACTGGACTAGACCCCTCAAAGTCCCTTCCAGTCCTACAATCCTATGATTGTCCCCCTGATATCTGCCACTGTATTAAAAAACAAAACAAAACTGGATTAGGCAATTTTGCATATGACTATGTTTGACTCGAAGATTAACAGTTCCCAGACGTGAGTGGTAGGCTTCAGAGTTAACACTGCAGCTTCCAGCTCTGCTTCACACTGTTTGCCACCTCTGGCAGGCAGTACTGCGTCAGGTCGCAGCTGGCAACCAGAAGGGCTAGAGACTATGTTTGAAAATGAAACCTGAAGGCAGAAATGCAGAGAAAGCAGGGCCCAGGTCTGCGTGGGTGCTCTCTAATCCCTGGGCACAATGGGTACTCCCAAGGAAGGCAGCCTAGACTTTGCCTGCCACATTTGCAGTTCAATCCAGCCTGATCTTTTACCCCCTGCTGGGGACTGCATCTGAGCATATCTTTTTATGGCAGTTTGCCTTCCTGGAGGGAGGGAAAGCTTAGCCAGGGCCCATGCCCCGCTGCCAACGTGGTGCCAAGAAGCAGAGAGAGCATGTGGGTCTTGGGCTCTGTAGGAGAGCTCAGAATTTGTTGGGCAGCAAATCGCTGGCACTCTCTGGCCTGTCTTCTCCATCAAGTTCCGTTCTGTGGTGGAATTACTGGTCTGGTGGAAGAAGTGAGGTTCTGGAGACATCAGCCCAGTAATACCAAAACGCCCTGAATTGGGTTGTGTTAGTGAGCAAGGACACAAGGCCTTAGCACAGAAGAGCAGTAGGTTTAATGCACTTCCTAGTTTAAAGGGCAAGGCTGATGTCTTTGAGCTAGTTTTTCCTGGCTAGTTCTCTTATGATCATAAGGCACGTCAGGTGTTAGTGATGCCGACTCTTTATCTGCTCCAGCTCAGTAAGTCACATAGCTGGGTTATGCCAATCGAAGTCATTCTAAGCGGAATATTAAAAAGTCAAGAGTCAGAAAAAGGCAGCATGGAAGTGGGGGGAGGGTATCCGCATAAGGGCTGATCCATTGAGGTGCTGAGCACCCTCCGCTCTTCACTGGCGTCAGTGGGAGTTGGAAGGTGCTGAGCGCCTTGCAGGATGAAGCCCTGGTTTTGCAGATGGAAGTTCTAACTGCTGTCGTTGATTGCAGAGAGGTGAGCCTTTAGCATAGCTCTGAGTGCTGGGTCCAGAGTTTCCCGCAAGCTCACAGCCATTTCGTCCGTCCACCTGTGCTCCAGGCTTGGGCGGCGCTTCCTTGTCACATCGAAGATGTGTGTGGGTTTAAATTCTTGCGGCATCTTTAATCTGAGGGGCCGAGCGTGGGGATACAGGCTTTTCTCGATCACTTCATAGGGCAGGTTGGGGACGGGGGAGAGTCTGCCTTTGTAAGCCATGTTGATCACCGGCTGTCCGCGCGAGTCCTTGGAGAGAAACAAGAAGGAGCTGAAGTCATGATCCCCACAGGCCTCGGGGTTGGTGCCCAGCCGGACTGTTGTAGGTCGGAATATGTCTGTCACCTGAGGGGAGGATGGATTGACGCTGGCATTCCAAGCTCTCTGTGATTTCCCAGTGCGGGGCTGAGCAGTGGCAGATAAACGAGGTTCCCCTTTAATCTTAGCCCTCCGCTTGGTGTGCATGCTGGTTTTTTTTTCTCCAGGAGGTATTTTAGCCACTTCCTTCTTGGGGACAGCATCCAGCTTCGCTCTGTCCTCCGGAAAATGCCACCGTTTAGCAGAGTCAGGCAACCCCTGTTGCTGCTTCGTTGCAAGCCAGTTAGAGAATGCCACTGCATTCAACAAGTCCTGCTCCCTCTGCAACAAACACACACACAACCAAGTCAGGCCTGGGTCATTAGATCGAACGTTTGTCACCCAGGCCAGGCCATACTCGCTTAAAACGTGTTAAGGAGCCAGAAAGCCTGGCAGGTGTTTTCTAAATGTGATTTGGTGGGGCGGGAGGGGCGAGGGTGGTCTTTCCTCTGAATCACTGCTGAATGACCCGCTACTGGACACTATGCTGCTACAGTGCCTTTTTCCTTGGACGGAACGTTAATTCAGTGTCCTGGGTTCTGGCTACATTCCAGCTCACGTTAATATTTTGCCTACCTACAAGTTCCCCCTCTGGTTTCCTGGGGGCACAGTGCTCAATTCCTATCCTGCACTCTCGGGTCGGAAGCAGCTTCTGCGTTCCACCCTCGGGGCGCTTCGTTGCAGGGGGGCGAACTGAGTAGTGAGTCTAAAAAGGCAAGTTCAGCCCAGGTGAAAGGAGGCAAATATCTCAGCAGTATCTGGTCTAAGGGCTTCCCTGCACCAATGAGGCGAGAACAAGTCCTGATCTGGAGGATTTTAACAACAGGGGAGTCACGCTCATGAACAGACCTGAGCAGTCCAGAGAAAGGACTGGGCTGTCACTAGGTGCAGGGCTGGGCTGTGGGCTTTGTGATTTGCTGATTCGTATTTATATTTTCACAGGTTTTTAATGTCTCAGAACTAGGTCCAAAGTGCCATGAGACAAGGTACCCCATGCTATTCAAACCGAAGTTCATGGCTTGGGTCTTTCTCCTGTCTGGTGGAAATACCATGAGGAGATGAGATCTTAGCATTATTGTGGTCCCTCAAACAGCTTAAAACATTAAAAAGCCATTGACAATATAAACATAACCCCTATTTCTTATATAGATCAAAGCGCTGCATCATTTTTCATGTATTTATCCTCACAACCCTAAGCAGGATTATCCCCTGATGGAGAACTGAGGCAGAGGGGGGGCTAAGTGACTTGTCCAAGGTCACACAGGAAGTTCATGGCAGAGCAGGAAATTGAACCCTGGTCTCCTACGTCCAGGTCTGTGCCCTGCCACTGGGCCATCCTCTCTGTGGAAACACAGCATCTGACCCGAACGCTACCATTCTGCAGCCCTGCTCGCAATGCATGCTCTTGCTGATGGTATTCTTGTAGAATCATAGACAGGTAGGGCTGGAAGGGGTCATTAAGTCCAGCCCCTGTGTGCTGAGCCAGGGCCAAGTAAACCTAGATCATCCCTGACCGGTGTTTGTCCTACCTATTCTTCCAAACCTCCAGTGACAGGGATTCCACAAGCTCCCTTGGAAGCCTGTTCCAGAGCTGACCTCCCCGAAGAGTTAGAAAGCTTTTCCTGCAACCTAACCAAAGTCTCCCTTGCTGCAGATGAAGCCCATGACTTCTTGTCCTACCTTCAGTGGCCATGGAGAACCATTGATCCCCGTCCGCTTTGTAACAGCTCTGAACGTGACGACTGTTACGCGGTTCCCCCCGTTCCTCCCACTCTTTGTTTCTCAAGCCTCTACCTGCTCAGTCTTTTTAACCTTTCCCCATCAGTCAGGGTTTTGAAACCTTTCTCTCATTTTTCTTGCTCTCCTCTGGACTCCCTCCAATTTATCCACCTCTTTCCTCAAGCATGACACCCAGAACTGGACACGCTGCTCCAAGTGAGGCCTCACCAGTGCCGAGTAGAGTGGGACAATTACCTCCTATGGCTTACATACAACATTCCTGTGAACACCCCCAGAATGACATTAGCCTTTTTTGCAACTGCATCACACCGCTGGCTGGCTCATATTCAATTTACGATCCACTCTAACCTCCAGACCCTTGTCGGCAGCGCTGCCTCCTAGCCCATTATTCCCCAGTTTGCAGTTGTGCATTTGATTTTTCCTTCCCAAATCAATTCCTCTGTGCTTGTCTTCACTGAATTTCAGCATGTTGATTTCAGTCCAATTTTCTAATTTGTCCAGGTCGTTTTGAACTCTAATCCTGTCCTCCAAAGTGCTTGCAACCTTCCCATCTTGGTGTTATCCACAAATTTTATAAGCATACTCGCCACTCAATTAACCAAGTCATTAATGAAATTATGCCACTAAATATGCCTTCTAGTGTGACAGCGAACCATTGATAACTACTCTTTGAGTCGGTCTTTCAACCAGTTATGCACCCACCTTACAGTAATTTAATCTAGACCACATTTCCCTTGTTTGCATATGAGACTATCATGTGGGACTGTGTGAAAAGTCTTACTAAAATCAAGCTATATCACATCTACTGCTTCTCCCATCCCCTAGGCCAGTAACCCCGTCAAAGGAGGAAATTAGGGTTGTTTGGCATGATTTGTTCTTGACAAATCCCTATTGGCTATTCCTTATAACCCTATTATCTGCTAGGTGTGTACAGAATGAATGTTTAATAATTTGTTTAGAATTGTTCCAGGTATTGAATTTAGACTGACTGGTCTACAGTCCCTCTGGGTCTTCTTTGTTCCCACTTTTAATAAGTACTATGTTTGCCCTTGTCCAGTTCTCTGGGTCTTCACCTGTCCTCTATGAGTTCTCAAAGGTCATTGCTAATGATTCTGAGATTGCTTTGGTTAGTTCCTTAAGTACCCTAGGACAAATTTCTTCAGGCCCTGCTGACTTTCATACATCTAATTTATCTAAATATTCTTTAACCTCTTCTTTCCCTGTTTTGACTTGGGTTCCTTCCCCCTTGTTAGTCAACACAATTAATATTATCTGGTCACCATTTACCCTTTTAGTGAAGACTCAAGCAAAACAAGCATTAAACACCTCTGCCTTCTTGATATCATCAACTAGTTCTGCTGCCCCACTAAGGAGAAATCTAGGGCCAGCAGAGTTAAGGACAATCAGTACGTTTTAAAAATATACTAGGAACAAAAAGAATCCTGACAATGGAACTGGTGGACAGGGTAGAGTTATCAATAATAATGCAGAAAAGGCAGAAGCCATTCAATAAATATTTCTGTTCTGTGTTTGGAGGGAAAACATATGGTGTAGTCTCATCATATGGCGATGTTAATACTCTTTCCACTCCATCTGGAGGATGTTAAACAGGAGCTACTCAAGCTAGACACTTTTAAATCAGCAGGTCCAGATAACTTGCATCCAAGAGTTTTAAAAGAGCTGGTTGGTGAGCTTGCCAGACCGTTAATGTAGATTTTCAGTAAGTATTGGAGCACAGGGGAAGACTGGAAGAAAGTGAATGTTGTGCCCATATTTAGAAAGAGTAAATGGGACGACTCAAGTAATTTTAGGCCTGTCAGCCTGACCTCAATCCTGAGCAAGATAATGGAGTGGCCGATACAGGACTTGATTAATAAAGAATTCAAGGAGAGTAATGTAATTAATGCAACTCAGCATGGGTTTATAGAATACAGATCCTATCTAACTAACTTGATTCTCTTTATGAGATTACAAGTTGTTTGATAAAAGTAACAGTGCTGATATACTAGACTTAGACTTCTGTAAAACCTTTGACTTGACACTGCATGCCATTTTGATTAAAAAATCATAATTCTATAAAATTAACATGGCACACGTTAAATGGATTAAAAACTGGCTAAGTGGCAGATCTCAAAATGTAACTGTAAATGGGGAATTATCATTGAGTGGGGCCATATGCTATTTAACATTTTTATCAATGACTTGGAAGAAAACATGAAATCATCATATTAATAAAGTTTGCAGATGATACAAATTGAGGGAGTGGTAAATAGAGAGGACAGATCACTGATTTAGTGCGATCTGGATCATTTGGTAAACTGGGCGCAAGCAAACAAAACACATTTTCATGCAGCTAAATGTAAGCGTATATATCTAGGACCAAAGAATGTAGGCCATATTTACAGGATGAGGGACTGTAACCTGGGAAGCAGTGACACTGAAAAAGATTTGGGGGTTGCGGTGGATTCTCCATCACTGACCATGTCTAAATCAAGATGGGATGTTTTTCTAAAAAGCTCTGCTCTAGGAATTATTTTGGGGAAGTTCTCTGACTTGTGTTACATAGTAGGTCTGACTAGGTCTGTCTACCACAGTGGTACCTTCTGGCCTTGGAATCTATGACTCTATAATGGGAGGACCTACGCTTTGTGCTGGGTGCTGTACAGGGTAAATGACAGTCCTGAGAAGCTGCAGAAAAGCTAGACAGACTTCTGCAGCCATGGTGGAACAGGCCTGTTAGGTCACTGAGTCCATCAGCTTCCTGACAGGCCCAGCATCCCCTCGACAGAAGATCTCTCTGATATTAAGCTGACTGGACAGATTTAGACAGTATATTCCTATAATCAGGCTAGCCTGTAGTCAGCAAACAGCAGCTGCAGCTTTGCTCATGGGTTGTGGCCCCTGAGGCATGATTCACTCATAACGCAATTAAGCCCACAACTAACTTTCATCCTCAGATCTGACTCTCGGCTAGGCCAGGTGACATCTGTCTGCAGATTGATTTGGCATGGTTTCTTACAGCGCAGGGGCAGCCAAAGTGCAGCTCTCCCCTGACCGCTATGGAGAGCTGACGGGGAATTTTTTGACTCCATGTTTTTTTCATTGGAAAGGGCCCCTTGGCTGACACCAAACCTGTGTGTGGAAATAGCGGTTGGCTGTTCTGGGGTGGGTTTGGCGCGTGGCACACAGCTCCCCTCTTGCATTACTGCTCACACCCTAGGGCTTCAAGGAGTCCTGGGCTAGTGGATGGGACGGAGTGGGTGCTTCTGCGTAACAGGGACTGAGGCATCCCGGCTGAATGCCGCAGGCTACGTCCTCCCTCCGGAGGCGGAGTGCGCCACCTGGGGCCTCAGGAGAAGCCCACCCGGCGAGCGAGGGGCGTGCACGCTCTCTCGGTAGCTCTCATCAAGCTCGCACAAGGAGCGGTGGTGGAGAGACAGCTCAGCCGCGCTGAGCACGAACCCACCTGGGGGGACGGCTACCCTGCACGGCTACCCTGCTGTTCCGCTCGCGGCGGCAGGGAAATCATGCCCCTAGCTGCAGGGCAGATGTAGCCTCGGATACATAGGAACACCTAGACAAGCATATCTGCACAGCTCTCATGTGCCTTCTGGCCCTCGGGCATAAGATTCAGGGGGGGAGCAGGCAACGCTGTTTCTGTGAGTCTTTGGCGTGTGTAATGAACAAGGGGGAAGAATTATTCCGGTCGTGAACGGGTAAAATGAGGAGCGGTGGAATGAGATCAGGAAAGGGGAAACTTAAACTGAGTAACAGGAAATGGTTCCAGATGATGAGATTTGTTAGGCAGCAGAAGGGCAGGAAAAACACTTATAAATGGACATGGTAAAACAGGGAACAACCCTACCCTGGCTGTGACCTAAGAAGTCTCTTCCAGCTCAGGCCTGGTCTACACTACACTGTTAGGTTGACATACGGCAGCTTATGTGGACGTAACTCCGAAAGCGTCTGCACTAAAATGTCGCTCCCACTGATTTAACTCGCACACTACACCACCTTAATAACTCCACCTCCGTGAGAGGCGTAGCGCTTAGGTCGATGTAGTTAGATTGACGCAGCGTCCATGTAGACACTGGGTTGCTTACAGCGGCTGTTGCTGCCTTTCAGAAGACATCCCACAATGCCCCACACTGAGTTCAATCGGTGCAAGCGCTCCTGGTGAGGACACGCACCGCTGACACCAGGAGCGTAGTGTGGACGTGCAAAAGGAACTTCATTACTGTGGTGGCTGTACGCCGACATAACTGAGATAGGCTTCATTTTGCAGTGTAGACTTGCCCTCAGATTCAGTGGGCTTGGGCACAGTTTGCCAAGGGGTAGGGGCCTCGCAGTTGAGTGCTTTAAAACCTGGAGCACTGGAGAAGTTCTCACAGGGACCAGTGCTGCTGAGGGGCTGAACTAGCTGGGCATTAATCATCTTTTCCACCCCTAACTGCCTTATAGGTTGCTAGTTGGCAACAAGGCCAGCAAAAGACCTTTTATTCGAACTAGAAACCAAAACCAGTCAGGAAAGCCCCTGGCTCTTCTGGTGCTACAGCCGTGGTGATCTTACCTTCTCTATCTTCAGGAAGTTTTGTTCCCGAGTGCTGACATTCACTTTTGATTTGATTCAGCTTGTGCATTTCACGAGCAAAATTGCGCTTGTCTGTTTTCCACATGGCATCATTCAGGTACCTGGAGAATCACAGACCAGTCAGCTTGACTTCAGCACCCAGAAAGCTAATGGAGCAAATAATCAAGCAATCAATTTGCAAAGACTTAGAAGACAATAAGGTGATAAGTAACAGTCAGCATGGGTTTGTCAAGAACAAAATGTGTCAAACCAACCTGATAGCTTTCTTTGACAGGGTAACAAGCCTTATGGATGGGGGGAAGTGGTAGATGTGGTATATCTTCACTTTAGTAAGGCTTTTGATACTGTCTCACATGACCTTGTCATAAACAACCAAAGCTAGATGGAGCTACTATAAGGTGGGTGCATAACTGGTTGGAAAACAGTTCCCAGAGAGTAGTTATCAGTGGTTCACAGACAAGCTGGAAGGGCATAAGGAGTGGGCCAATTTATTAAGTGATCCATCCCTTGTCACCCAGTCCCAGCTTCTGACATTCAGCGGTTTAGGGACACCCAGTGCATGGGGTTGCATCCCTGACCATCTTGGCTAATAGACATTGATGGACCTGTCCTCAATGAATTTATCTAATTCATATTTGAACCCAGTTATACTTTTGGCCTTCACATCATCCCCTGGCAATGAGTTCCACAGGTTAATGGCACATTGCATGAAGAAGTACTTTTTGTTTGTCTTAATCCTGCTGCCTGTTAATTTCATTGGATGATCCCTAGTTCTCGTGTTACGTGCAGGGGTAAATAAAACTTTCCTATTCACTTTCCCCAGAACATTCATGATTGTATAGACCTCTGTCATCTCCCCCTTTAGTCATCTCTCTTCTAAAATGAGCAGTCCCAGTCTTATTAATCTCGCCACATATGGAAATTGTTGCATATCCCTCATCATTTTTATTGCCCTTCTCTGTATAATTCTAATAGACCAAATATATCTTTTTTGAGATGGAGCAACCAGAACTGCATGCAATATTCGAAATACCATGGATTTATACAGTGGCATTATGATAGTTTCTGGTTTATTATCTATCCCTTTCCTAATGGTTTCTAACATTGTTCGCTTTTTTGACTGCTGCACATTGAGTGGATGTTTTCAGAGAACTATCCACCATGACGCCAAGATCTCTTTCTTGAGTGGTAACAGCTAATTTAGACCCCATCATTTTGAATGTATAGCTGGAATTATTCTTTCCAATGTGCATCACTTTGCACTTATCAACACTGAATTTTACCTGCCATTTTGTTGCCCAGTCACCTAGTTTAGTGAGATCCCTTCGTGGTCAGTCTTGGACTTAACTATCTTGAGTATGTTTTTTATTGTCTGCAAATATCCCCAAACATTTCACTCCACCATTCACAGATGACCTTCTGTTATGCAACTGATTTGTCTGCTCTTGAATTGGTGACTTCAGACTGGTTTTACTGTAACTGGAGCGAGAGCTGGCAAAACTGGACCAGCAGGAAGCGGGGCAGGTCAGGATGAAACATACACGGGCAGAGCCAAGCGAAGGCCCCACACGGGAGCAACAGGAGCTACTGCAGATCTGACATATTGTTCACTGAAATTGCTGCAGGGGGCAGCTTGCACAGCACACGTCTGTGATAGGGGGACTCTGCATTGCATGCATGGGGTTTAGTGTCCACACAGAGCGTAATCCCCCAGCACGGATATAGACAGCCGTGTAGACCACGTGCCATGGCTCAGGTGAATAGAGTAAAGACAGGTCTGAAAGGGTGTGGGGATGTACCCAAGTGCAGACCCTACACGGCTCTCTGCGGCCCAGTCCATGCCTGCATGTCTACACTGCTATAGTCAGCCTTGCCCCTGCGGCAGGGAAAGACTCTGGCAATCTCCGGCCGCAGGGAAAGGCTGAGCTGGGAGCTGCTGAAGCCTTTCCCCACTGCATCCCCCCTGCCAGAGCCTTTCACTGCCAGGTGCAGCTACACACTGCAGGGCGGCTGCAGCCTGCATTTCGCTGTGCCAGGTAGCTACACTACGTGACACTGCCGTTGGGTCTGAGTGCAGATGTAGCCTCTGTGGGGCTCTAGCCAGTGGTTTTACTCCATTGTCACCACCAGATTTCCCCCAGTTTTAAAGTACTAGTGAGCATGATTCTGTGGCATGGAGAGCTGCGGGGGGGACTGTTGATTTCCCCGACAGATGTGTTTATTTCCCCACTGCGAGTTATCAGTTCATATCTTTAAACCCACAGCTGGTTGCACCTTAGCTATTTTTTAAAGGTTTTTAAGGCCCGGCTTGACTGATTTAGTTGGGGATTGATCCTGCTTTGAGCAGGGGGTGGGACTAGATGGCCTCCTGAGGTCCCTTCCAACCCTGATCTTCTCTGATTCTATTAACCAGTATTGTAGCTGGCAACTCTGAACCAGTCATCATTTGGTGTGCAACGCTCACCTAGCGCAGCTCCTGTGGGCCCATATCCTGCAGAGGTCAATGGGCTGCTGCCCCTCTGCGTCCTTGGCGTGGACATCAGCTCCAGCCTCAACCAGTTCAATGATGCAGTCGAGGCGTCCTTCACTGGCTGCCTTGTGAAGTGGCGACGTTCCGCCCTGGTTCTGACTGAAAAACAGACTGTCATTCCAAATTCTAGTCCAGATTTCCGAGAGACTGCCCCTGAGTTCTTCAGAGAGTATCTCCTTCCATTTGGCATTACAGAACAAACCAGTTATGGTGGTCGGAGATGAAAGACGACTACAGGTCCCCTCCAGTCCATGCCCTCCGCCACTACAGGATCATGTTCTATTGGTTTCTGGAGCTTTGTTTGGCCTAGATTTCAAGGTCCCCAGTGATGGGCTTCCACCACTTCTTTTGGAAGACTCTTCCCCAGCCTCTGAAGACAAGAAAATCCTCAACCCCCTTATTTTTTTGAACAGAGCTTGGGTAGGGAGAATTTTGGCCAGGCCAGCAAGTGAATCTCTTCTAATTACAACCAAACTCTTTGCAAGTTGGTGGCTCCAAGTCTCAACTCAGTCCAGGTGGATGGCTGGGTCAGGACTTTGGTCATGAGGCAGGGTGCCTTTCAGGCAGAGGCTCTGGTTTTAATGCGGGTCACATTGTTAGTGACTGGAAATCACTTTTTGGGTGGCCTGTGTGACATGGGTGGATGGGATGGGAAGTGACTGAATGTTCCTAGCGGAGAGAAGTCCCCACCAGAATAGGCCTCCCCAGGGGCAGACGCAGCAGAGAGACCAAAGGAAGAATGGATCATGGAGACAACTTTTCGTTCATCCCTTCAGGTCAGGATTGAGGTGCCTTATGTTGGAGTGGTGGAAATTTACACTACAGCTTTCTGTGCTATGCCTATTCTGAGAATCAACACAGGACTTCAGCCTCCAGGTTCTGCCAAGCCAGTATCTTTAAAGTGCCGTAAAGTCACACAAATTAAAAGGGAAAAAAACCATTAAGATGAGGTAAAAAGTTATGAAGTCTCAAGCCATCACTCACACATTGATGTCTGCCCCCTTTCCAATGAGGTACTGCAAACACTCCAGTGCCCTGGGGCCACTCTCCTTGTTCATCACCAGGTGAATGGGTGTCCATCCTGTCAGACTGGCCAAGTTCACATCAACCTCAAACTTTTCGACTATCAGTTTCAGGCACTCCAGCCGGCCGTATAGAGCTGCTAGATGGATGGCTGAGAAGCCCTAACAGGGAGGAGGAGGCAAAGGACAGTTCTAAATGTTTCTTGTCAGACTGTCCGCTAACTAATCCACTCTAATGGGGATGCTTTTCATACCAGAGAAGTGTGGGCTAGTGTTCTGAGAATAAAAGCTCCTCCTGGATTCTAATTTTGGCTCCGATAGTAACGCCTTCTGTGACACTGGGAGAGTCACATTGCCTTTCTGTGACACAGTTTCCCCCTCTGCAAAATGGGGCTAAACCTTCTTGGTGTGGTCGGGTATGTTTTTTATTTATTTATTTTGAGGTCTAGTGATTGGAAGTGATTGAGAATGGAGGGTTACAACAGAAACGGGATCTGAAATGTAACAAGTGTCTGTACCCCAATGTTTTATCGACATACAAGATGGAGTGTGTGTGTGTGTGCGTGTGTACATCTTTATACTTTGCAATGGCCACACACATACAGGGATAAGACTTTCAACACTGACACACACATCTTGACCACCTGCACCAAACTGCTTCTAATTGTGAAGATGTAGAAGGTTATTATAATTACTCAGGACAACCACTAGAGGGCGTGATGATCACATGTACTGGGCCAAGGTGTACATGATCTGTGTAGAGGCATAATTTCATTACAGGTGTGACACTACATATGGGGTATTAACCCTAGAAATCAGTAGTTTACAAATATAGTCCTAAAATAACCCAATTTTCCTCTTGCTTTTGAAGCACCCAGAAATGTTGCCAAGTTTGGGGGACAGGTGCGTGGAGAAAACACACATTCAGAAAAGACGTCAGTTTACTAAAGAATTAAAGGTAGATACTCAGCATGAAACTATACGTTGTTTAAAATGCCTGTCTTTTCAGGTGTTACTTTACATACCTTAGCTGACTGAAACTGAAAGAACTACAAAATAAAAATCCGGATTTACTTTTCATCTTTCTGAGCCAGTGAAAGTAGACCCATCAGTTCCGCTTGTGTCCAGTCAATTTCACTTCACTGCCTATTTGTTTACTTGCAGGACACACTGCAGGGACAGGTTTAAATATCCCTCACTGTATTTGTTTGTTTCCTGAAACATTTCTATTCTCCATAGGTTTTTTTAAACCCACCCACTCCCCCTCATTTGCATTACCACAAGCTCATGTCCCAATTTCACTATCAGGCCCGTGTGGGGGAGAACACTGCCCTCACGTGGATCCCCACTTGGGCTTCAGGCAGGTGTAGAGATCCATCTGCGTGGATCCAGTTGCAGGATTGGGGACCGAAGGGTCTGGTCCTGAGTGAAACAGAGCCCCTGCACTTCCCACTGATTTCAATGGGAATTGCAGGTGCCTAGCATTTCTCAGGATCAGGCCCCACGCTGACAGTGTCTTTTAAAAAGTTTGACATGCAGCCAGCTAGGCGGGGGGATGGGTGTTGATTCCTGAGCATGACCCTGAAAGGCATGATCCTGATCTTCTGAAGGCAATTGGAATCTTTCCAATATCTTCAGCAGAAGCAGGGGCAGGCCCTACCAAACTACCTCTGTCCTCTCATGATAGGGCCCAGTCCCGTACGGTCTGAACACCGGCCAGTCAATGGACATTGAGGATACTCGGCATCTCAGAGGAAGCACTTGGCCGGCTCAGGCCCTTTAATGAAGCAGTCATTTTTTGGTCTGGTTTCTGCTGACAAGCAAAGATCCCAAGAGCGAAGCGGAATTGTTTTATTTGTCACCAGAGGCTCAGTACAAACACAGCCTTGGGCTGAGTGCAGTTTATTCACACTATAATGTCACAATTGCCCCTGTGCTGTAAAAGCCCTAATTTTCACAGTGGGAACATTTGGTGGCAAAGGAGGAAGCACTTAATAGGACTGTGCTCTCAGCTAAATGACTCTGCATTTATTCTGCATGAGAACGGATCAGAAAGGCTGCTAACTCCCAGCTCCTTCCATTCAGCACTGCTGTCAGTGAGGCTCATTCCTAAGCAAGCCTGTGACCTGTAGATCAAGCTCCAAGCAGTTTGCTTCGAAGAGTCACGCTCAGATAGCCAGGTCTCTCAATGAAATTACGTTACACACTAGGGGCCTGATCCGAAGCCCAGGGAAGTCAATGCAAAGCTTTCCAGTGACTTCAGTGGGCTTTCGATCAGGCCCTGGCTAGACCCATTGCTAGAAGTGCAGTGTCTGAATTGTACACTGCAAGCAAGCCTGGCATGAAACAAACCAGAGAATCTTTCTGGCTAATTCAATGTGACTGCCGTGAAGCCTAGAACTCCTTCAGTTACGTTCTCCTTTGCAGGCAGCAGCACGGGGGGGAAGAATACTTCCCACAGCAAGAAGGTTCAATTGTTCTTTGGGAAAAAAGACCACAGCACTTTCATATGGAAACACCCCGCTATTAAATCTTATTGTCCATCTCAAGGGGCAGTATCGTGCCATTGATTTTCAAGCACAAATCCCACTGAAATCCATAAAAAGAAAAGGAGGACTTGTGGCACCTTAGAGACTAACCCATTTATTTGAGCATGAGCTTTCGTGAGCTACAGCTCACTTCATCGGATGCATACTGTGGAAAGTGTAGAAGATCTTTTTATACACACAAAGCATGAAAAAATGGGTGTTTACCACTACAAAAGGTTTTTTCTCCCCCCACCCCACTCTCCTGCTGGTAATAGCTTATCTAAAGTGATCACTCTCCTTACAATGTGTATGATAATCAAGTTGGGCCATTTCCAGCACAAATCCAGGTTTTCTCACCCCCCCCAACCCCCCCCCCCACAAACCCACTCTCCTGTTGGTAATAGCTTATCTAAAGTGATCACTTTATCAACAGGAGAGTGGGTTTGTGTAGGTTGGTGAGAAAACCTTTTGTAGTGGTAAAAACCCATGCTCAAATAAATTGGTTAGTCTCTAAGGTGACACAAGTACTCCTTTTCTTTTTGCGAATACAGACTAACACGGCTGTTACTCTGAAAACTGAAATCCATGTTAAACTCATGGCAAACTGGACAATGCTGGATTGTTCCTTACAGTTTATTCTCTAGTATTTCTCATCTAATCTAGTGTTTAGAGCAGGGATAGTCAATAGGTGGACCACGGGCCAAATCCAGACCACCAGACACTTTTGAATGAACCCCGAAATCTTTGTATTTACTTATTATCATCATCATTGTTATTTTTAAAATATTATTGACTCTGGAGTCTGGACCTTGACTATATCTTTTGACCAAGAAATGTGAGCCTTGACAAAAAAATAATTGACTATCGCTGGTTTATGTCTCAAATGCTGAGGCTTCTCTTGGGAGATTTCATTCAATGTCTACAGGTCTGACTGTTAGGAAGTCCTCCCCGATGGGTAAATTTAGGCTGGCTTTCTCAATGCCATTCCGTCACTCCTATTTAGAGCCCCTGAGTTACCTAAACAATTCCTCTGCCTCTTTGGTAATTACACCCTTCAAATATGGACCCACAGTTATGTTCCCCGCTGAGCTGTCTCTTAGCTGCCCTATACAGTCAGTTATTTACATTTCCTCGATCCATCTAGCCCATTAATCATCGAGGTTGCTTTTTCTCTTAATTCCCTACAATTTACATAACATTTTTTCTGGCAATAAAGAGCCCAGAGCTGAATGCGGCATTCTATGAGCTGGCCATCTCCCTTCAGCTGGCTAGAAGAGTCTATCACCTCCCTACTCTCTGCCCTGCTGACTGTGTAAACATAGTAGAAAAGAATTCATCTGCACAGATAGAGAATTTCTGAGCCGGTATGGCAGGGTTCAGGTTGGCAGGCTCTGGAGGAATACAATTTTCAAATTTGGATAACTACCATTAGACACCAAGGGACAGATTTTTAAAGGTATTTAGGTGCCTTTCAAAGGTGCACGGTAGGATTTTCAAAAGCACCAAGACACCTAAGCGTCCCTCTGCCATGTACATTGGTCAAACTGGACAGTCTCTACATAAAACAATATATGGACACAAATCAGACGTCAAGAATTATAACATTCAAAAACCAGTCGGAGAACACTTCAACCTCCCTGGACGCTCAATTACAAACCTAAAAGTGGCAATTCTTCAACAAAAAAACTTCAAAAACAGACTCCAACGAGAGACTGCTGAATTGGAATTAATTTGCAAACTGGATACAATTAATTTAGGCTTGAATAAAGACTGGGAGTGGATGGGTCATTACATAAAGTAAAACTATTTCCCCATGTTTATCCCCCACCCCCACCCCCACCCCCCATTGTTCCTCAGATGTTCTTGTCGACTGCTGGAAATGGCCAACCTAGATTATCACTACAAAAGGTCCCCTATTCCCCCTCCCCCCTCCCCCGTTCTCCTGCTGGTAATACCTCACCTTAAGTGATCACTCTGATTACAGTGTGTATGGTAACACCCATTGTTTCATGTTCTCTGTGTATATAAATCTCCCCACTGTATTTTCCACTGAATGCATCTGATGCAGTGAGCTGTAGCTCACGAAAGCTTATGCTCAAAGAAATTTGTGAGTGCCTGAAGTAAAGGTGCCACAAGTCCTCCTTTTCTTTTTGCGAATACAGACTAACACGGCTGCTCCTCTGAGATCTAAGTCTCACTGAGTCTCATGGGCATGAGGCACCGAGGGGCTTTAGAAAACCCCATGCAGCACCCATCTCCATCTGGAGGTGCCTAAATACCTTTAAAAACCTGGCCCTGATTTTTCCGAGGTGCTGAGCACCCAGATGCCACTGAATAAATTCCCATTAGATAACAGGTCCTTGATGTAACTGGAAGCAGGATAAAAGATGAGACTGAGGCCTGGGTGGCTCACAGCAAGTGTCTTAAAATGTTTCAAAGGGCAGATCAGAGACTTAACAGAGACTATTTTGAGAATACCACCCCTCTCACTCATCGCTGTACGGACCATCTCCGCTCCTACCGGATCCCATAACATCCCTGTAGCAGCTATATAGCAGTCGTTCACATGGGAAAACAAAGGATTTTATGCATTTTTGAACCATCTTAAAGAAAATGAGCCACTGGAAGCAAGGG